TCTCACGGTTATCATAAATTACATATCGAATTCTCATTTAATTAGGTCCCTGTATATATATAGAGCTCAAACGAATGATAATTATAGGGTCTAAGTGAAAACAGTTGAGAGTTGAGGGTGTGGCATGTAAAAATTGTGTCCCAATAATTTCCAACTTTTCCACAAAGACTAGGGTGTTGTATGGCCCGCATTAAGACTTTTGCCAAATAAAAGAAGGATCAAATTTCTCCAAAGCCGGAAAGGTTTTTCGCTGAAATAGTTTTTTACTGATTTAATATAAATGAAAAATTACATCAAAATGAAACTAACTTTCATCTTATTCCTATTTTAGGGAACTAACTTTTAAAATATTCATTTAAGCGTCTCTGTCAAATTTTTTGTTTATTTAAGGGTCTAGTTGACCTGTTGAATAGGTAACAGGTAATTTAATATGACTTGGAAGGAACTTATTTAAACAAATATTATGTGGTAATTATTTTGACAAATCAAAATGAAGTCCACTTCACGTCTCCTGTCTCGATCGCAATCCTGCCCCTCCTTCTTCCTTCAATCGTCGTCGTCCCATAGCCTCCTGCCGCTGTAGCTTTCTGTCCTCTCCAACAGTCGTTGCCCCTCCCTCGTCCTTCAATCACCGTCGTCTCATAGTCTCCTGTCACTATAGCTTTCTGCCTTCTCCGGCAGGGTATCCTCTCTTCATTTGATATTTAATATTTATTTTTTATTGCATCAATTAATTTTTTCTATAAAAAACGAGATTTGGAAACATCTTCAATTTGATATTTGAATTTTTTTTATTTAAAAAACAAGATTTGGAAAGAAATATAGATTTTATTGCATTAATTTTTAATAAAAAAACAAATTTTAGTTAATTTTATATATTTATTTTGCAATTTTAAAATATGACGTGGATTTAAAATAAAAAAATTAATATGACGTGAAATATCTTAGTTGTCAAAAAATCTGGATTATGTCAGTATTAATAGATCAACCAGACCCTTAAATAAACAAAAAGTTTGATAGAGACTTATAAATGAAGATTTTAAAAGTTGGTCTCCTAAAATAGGAATAAAGTGAAAGTTGGTTTCATTTTGATGCAATTTTTCCTAATATAAACAAGGCTTGGAAAAACGCTCTGACATCTGTATAAAATAATAAATTAAAAAAATTAAAATTTCATATCATATATTATATTAAATTAATTTAAATAAAAATCAGTGTTCTGATATTATTTGAATGTAGAGAACAATAAATCACTAATTCAGCTAAATAATAAAAACCTAAAAAAATTCAATAAAAGCTAAAATATATATAATTAAATCCTGTAAACATTAAAGACCCAATTTTAAATCACATATAATTAGAACATATTCAGACAAACCTTGATATAAATAGGGTTTTCTTTACCCAAGTTTCTATTGAGAATTCTTGTGAATGCTTAGTTTGGTTTTAAATTAATTAATTATACAAGACAAATTAATATTTATACCTTTTTAGTAATAATTAAAAACAGAAATTGGGAGTGTCGGTGGTAATAGAAGTCAGGAAATGAATAGGAGATATGGAAAATGCAAATGCACCAACCAAAAGTTACTGATTTTTTACAGTAAAAAAAATTCGTAAACTTTTTTTGTTGTTTGTGTATAAATAAATAAACATTGGTGTTACAATTATCATAATAACAAAAGATCATTTTTGTTTGAATTGTATTTTTAGTTGATATAAGAAGCTGGAATTTAAAAATTTCACCTCCAGAGAATAAATCATATATATTTTGAGATAAGTATGTAGAATTATTTGGGTTTTCATATGGAGTCGGTGCATATAATAATCGTTAAATATCATTATTTCAATCTAGTCAAATTTACAAATGTGAATTTTCAACTTTGACTAAAAAATTGTCATTTGAATTTAATTTAAGTTCACAAACTAAACAATATCATATTCTACCTGTATTTCTTATTTAGGGGTGTTTGGGATTGCTTATTTAAAACAACTTATGTTTTTTTTATAAAAGTGTTTATTAACTTATGTAATATTAAATCGGAGTTTTGTAATAAGTGTTTGGATTAACTTATAGCGGTACCAAAAAACAATAAGTTGATAAGTTGTTTTTTAGTGTTTGGCAAATTTTACTTATATATGTAAAATTACCAAAAAAGGACAGTCTTCCATATAATAATATTTTTGATTATTAACTTATTTGATTTTTTAACATGTAAAAATTTATTTTTCATCATTTATAATAATATTTTTGACAAAAATTTATATCAATACGATTAATAATTAACAAACATTGATAAAACAAGATTAAAATGGTAAACTGATAATAAGCAATTTTTCATAAGTCAGGAAGGATTAACTTATCAAAAACTGCTTATTACCGGTTTGACACCAGTATAAGCAATTTTATTTTTCCTCATCCAAACACTAGCATCTAGCTTATCACCAATGTCAGATTGAAATAAGTCAAAAAACACCTAAAATAAGCAATCACAAACACCCCCTTAAAGGTCTTTGTGATTTTAATGTCATTAAGAGTGTTGATGTGGTTGTGATTTACATGGGGACTAGGTGGTAACTTAACTAAGAAGGTAAGAATTGAAATGCATGCTCATAAATGTTGTCTCTAACATTTTAGATAACATAAATCAATTTTATTCCCTTGTTTTGTTTTTTTTTAGAATGAATCTTCAAATCCATCCAATTCCACAAACAAAGGGATTTCAACATTCTTTCACAATAAGTTGGGATTTTGAAATCACAACGGTGATGCCTGATTGATTCGAGCTTGAGCTCCAAAAATTAAAAGTGTATGTAAGTACGTCTCAGGTTCAACCAAGGAGGAATAAAAATCTACTTGTAACCATAGATGTTCAAATGCGGTGACTCTGGGCTACTCGTAAAGCAGGTAGTCGTCATGAGGTTAGTCAGATCGCATAGCGGATTGGATATTCAGGTTAATAAAAAAAAGTTGGGATTTTGATGGAATAACATTTTATATTTTCTTAATATCAAATATACTTTTTAACCCAAATATAACCTAATTAATTTAATACTTTTTTCTTTATTTAATTTAATACTTTTGTTTTTTATTTTATTTTTGAGTAAAATGTACAAAATAGCAATTTACTTTCATAAATTTCTTTATTATAACATTGTATTCCCAGTTTTTCTAATTACATCAATGTACTTTCAAACTATTTTTTATTAGAACATTGTACTTTGAAAAATTTACCCATTATAGCATTGGGTAACATTTTGATTTAAATTTACCCATTATACCAAGTTTCCATGCTACTTTATTATCCATGTAGGTTGTCTATATGTACTATAGTGATGTGACTTTCTTATTACAACATTACACTTTCAAAATTATTTTATTATAAAATTTACTAGTTCTTATTTAACAATGTACTTTTAATTTTAATATTTAGATATTTTACAGGTTATTTAATAAATATATTAAATGAATTAAAAAAATTCTAAATTATTTGTTAATATACCAATATTAATAAAGAGTTTGTTTCAAATACAACTAATCGCATTTGTATAACCAATGCAACCCAATAAATTGAGATATTTATGGAAATGATGATAGTTCATTTATTATGATTTGAATATTTATGGAAGATAAATATGATTCATTAATTATGATCAATACTTTATATCAGGAAACAATCAAAACTTATATGAAATAACATATCAATCAAATGAAATGGATGGTTGAGATTGAGTTGTATTGGTTGCACAAATGTCAAGGGTTGTATAATAACCAACCTCTATTAATAAAACTAGTAGAAAATAACTTATCTCACTAGTATTTTTTTAAAAAATATGTGTTTTTTGATATAAAAAAATAAGAATTGTTCTTTTTTTACCAAAAAAATATTATCTTTTAAAGAATATATTATATTTGTTCAAAAAMTTTTACTTRACGTATAAATACATTAAATAAATTAGATTTTTTTGAATTATTTATTAATATAACAATATTAAAAAATTGTAGAACACAATTTATTTCGTTAAATAAAAAGATAGATTTTTTATCCAACTTCACAGTGTTTTACTGTGAAGTTTCAAATATAAAAAAGTGGTATCACGAGTCTAACGAAAAGGTTGGTCTTCCATGATCGTAAGTCCAACGCACAAATATACATGGACTGATACTTTATAAAAAACACACAGGGACGAATAACCAGTGTCGCACTTCATCTCCTCCTTTTTATTAAGCCGCTGCACAGCCACTGCAACCAAGCTCTAATATCATGGTGAGAAGACCACAATGTGTGACTACAATCTGAAAGGATATATATACAAAAGACGTAGAATTTCAAGAGTGATAAAAGTAATTAAGGGGTTGTTTACTCAAATACTTACCCAGTAAGTGTTTATCTATAGAAGTCAACACTATAATTTACTTTGATGCGTAAGATTTTAGTACATCAAAACGTATCAAATGCAACAATTTTCCGGGAAAACACTTACCTGGGTAAAATTTTAGTACATCAAAATGTTGATTTGATGGTCATATAAATTTAAAAGTTCGTTACAAACTTTCTTACCCGTGATATTTGAGTGTTTTTGTTCACAAGACTTTTCACCTTGACATTAGTTTAGGCGGTTTAAACATACGGCTATAATCAATCATTATCACAAAACTTTGTATTAAATCAAATGTTACAATTTTCTTTTTAGCAAAATAAATATTATAAGTTGAGCAAATATGTTGAATAAAATCCATACTTTATTTATAGTTGTGTGTTTCTCATTAGAATACAGAATGTTTGGCAAAACATTCAAGCATAAAACGATAACATACATTTAAGAAGAAGTTATCTACCACTTTCTTGGAATATACACAGCTTATTTTCACATAGCATAGGCAAAATTTATTGCAATATATAATAACGAGTAACACGTATGCTACAACAAGATAAATTTCATCAACAGAAATATAACACAAAATATTTTAAAACAAACTAAAACATTTAAGAAACTCCCTAAAGTTTGTGTAAAATCAAGTGAGCGCCAAATTGAGGTTTTAAAGTAATTATAGCGTGTGGAGCATGTGAGTATGACGGAGATAGATCAAAAGAGAAGCGTTGCAGAATCATTGCAAACACTATTTTAGCTTCTAGCATTGCGAAATTCTGTCCGACACATATACGTGGGCCACCTCCAAATGGGACATATGACGCTTGCCCCTTGGTTGCCTTTAGCACACCTTCAGAAAATCTTTCGGGCTTGAACTCGTTCACATCTTCACCCCATATATCTTGGTCATGGTGTAAAAACAACGTGTTTAATTGAATGAGGGTTCCTGCCGGCAAGATTATGTTTCTTAATTTGGTTTCTTCATGTACTGATCGTCGTAGCAATATTGCAGATGGATATAGTCTAAGAACTTCATTGAAGATCATGTTGCCCTGCAAAAGAATAATTAAGATACAGAATAAATATGGATTTTGACATGTTTAATAAGGAGATAGCTTTGGTAAGCCACAAGTATGAAAAAACTTACAATTTTTAGGTGATTCAACCCATCAATATCTGGTCTTTCTTGTCCGAAAACCTGTAAAACTTCCTCTCTAGCTCGTGTCTGCCACTCCTTGTGTTGACCTAGTAAAATCATAGTCCAAACAAGCATATTTGCGGTGGTTTCCTGTCCTACAAAATAGAAAAGTTTGCATTCTTCGATGACTTCCTCAATGCTTAAGCCAAAATTGATATTTCCTCGTTGTTTAATTTCTTTGTAATTGGAATCCAAAAGAATGCCCAGAAGGTCATCATTGATACTTTCCCCGGCCTTCATAGCAACAACTCGTTTATCAATTATACTCTTTATCGAAGCCTTCACTTCCCGATCAATCTCTTTCATCCTCTTGTTTTTTTTGGTAGGCAAAAATCTGTTAGAATCATAGTTTATTAGCTTAAATACCAAAAAATAATGATATCCCAACTTTAAATGTCTACTAAATAGTAGATTGGAGTTAAAATGTTACACTTTGCATTGTATTGTTCGTTTTTTAATGTAAACAAATTGTTCGGAAAGAAACTCACTTTGATCCAGGAATGTAAATTGACATTGCAGCTTTCATAGTCATCTCCCCTAGTTCTCTCTGAAGTTCAAATATCTTTCTTCCTTCCTCAAAACTACTACCAAACGATGTACGTGAAATCACGTCCGCTGTAAGTGTTTGAAGATGAGGCCATACATCCACTTCACACGAGCTCTCTTTCGTTACCATTTCGTCCCATTTGTGAATCATCTCACCGCAACTCACAAAAAATGCAGGAACCATATGCTGACAAAAAAGAAAATACAATTAAGCATATATACTAACAATGATTTCAAATAAATTAAAGAGCAGAATGGTAGGCACGAAACCTTGAGCTTCTCGACATGGAAAGCAGGGTTGATGATTTTTCTATGTTTAATCCATTGATCAGCCTCGACATTGATCAACCCTCTTCCTAGCAACTCTATTAATGGGTTTCCTCCCTTTGGCTTTTGAAATTGATGATAATTAGCCAAGACCTCTTTCATCATTGTGGGTTCAGATATGTTGACCATAGGTCTTGTCCCCATCCATGTAAAACAAGTCTTGCCTGTATGTCGATGTTGTTAAAACCAGACACCAATGAACTAAATGTTTGACATGAAATTAATTTGGAAAAGCATTTATTAATCATTTATTTGTATTAAAAGCGATGCTAATTTTACATTTATTATTTGTTTATTTCTATTAAGATCTAGAAATGTCAAGTATCTGCAAGAGAAGCCAAATATATTGAATATTTTTTACAACTCAAAATAAATTTACATAATTAGCTAAATATATAGTTATTACACTTCTTAATCAGTTAAATTACAATTTTTTCCTTAATGATAGAGGCAAACATTCTCGCTTTCCATTTCAACTCTTAAAACAACTACAAAACAAAGAGGTTTTACCGAAGGAAAAAATCCGTCTGTAATCCGCTAGAAAAAGCCATCATCGGCGATCTCATTGCCGGAGAAAGTGTGGCCATTGGTCATGATTACTAGTGGATTACTGCCACATTTTCAATCACCAACCGAAAAATTCGTCAGTGATGGTCAACCCAACGGTGATCCGACATAGATCTGTCTGAAATTACCGACGAAAAAACCCACTACAACAAAATCGGGTTTATAGGATGTCCAAAAAATTTAAGCGTCCTAATAGATTGTTATACAGGCTCTAATTTTAAAGATTAAAGAATAAAGTTTCTTATCTAAAGGTATTATAATATGTTTATAGAATGTTTTAGACGTTTAACAAGTTTTTTACAACATTTCTAGCACAGAGTCTCATTAGCAATTTTATAGAACATTATTTGAAAAAATGTTCTATAAAAACAAGTGTTCTGTAAAAAAATGAGTTTATAGGACACTTTCTTAAAATTGTCCTATAAAATTTGATAATGCGATGCTTTGTATTAAAAGTATCCTAAAAAATTTGTTAAGAGGCCCAAAGCGTCCTATCAACTTATTACAATGCCTTTAGATAAGACGCTTTATATTTTGGTCCTAAAAGTTAAGTCCTATAAAACAGTCTATTATGACGTTTTGGAAAATGATGGCACCTTATAAACCTAATTTTGTTGTAGTGACCTGAAGTCTCTTTACTTTGTAGTGTTATTTATGTTTCTTAATTAATCAAGAGTATAATAGGAAATTTAGTGAATTATAACTATCTCTTTTTGAAAATAGCCCTTATTATACCATCCAATAACAATTTATCAAGTTGTTGTAACAATTTTATTTATGATACATAATTGTTTGGTTCTATAAATCCAAGTCTTATAAAATAGTGTATTAAGACATTTGAACATATTCAACGTTTATAGTAGTCCTACAGATGCTCTAAACAAGATACCAAGTCAAACAAATGCACAAAACATTTCCCACTATTGGATCACATATGTATAGAAATCGAGATTCCCTGTTTCACATATACGTACCGTGAGTAATGATGGATTTATGGAAGAGTGTCAATACACGAGGAGTGATATCATGATTTAGACTCATAGGTTTAGAGTTGGCTTCGTTTATCATGTTCTCCAACTCTTTCGAATCTCCGACCATGAATCGGTAAGGGGTGCCTTTGAGTCCTTGATCTCTTAGAAACTTCTCCATCTTTTTCGGTTTAAACCACAAGAAATTCAAAAGTCGCCATATGTATATCGTCAAGATCCCTGCTACTCCGATAACACAAACAACTGTTGTTTCCTCCATGGCTGTAGAAAAGCTGTGAGGTAATTTTGTGAACTTGTGATGATGTTCAGAGAACGAGGGTATTTATTGATTGATAATTTTTCTTTTATAACCCTAAGGTTTGAGTGGTTGATGGTTATGCATCCTGTGTTTTTTTATTGTATTCATGAATAAGAAGGAAAAATTGTATTGAACTTGTACCTGATGTTATGTTGATGGAGAGGTTTGAAATTTTTACGTCTAAACTATGAAAACTTTTGTCGGCTTAAAATAGGTTGAAATTGTATTATAATGGAATATTTCGACCCATTCTACAATCAAATCTTTCTTTATTTTGAAGAGTCATATTGCTGGAGCCGGAGCTATTAAACGTTGAGTGGTCTTTTATGTTCCCATTCACTCGATTATTATAAGAGACAAAAAAATTAGACGTCTAAAATTGCATCCACTTGATTTTAAGGGGCGCCTTTAAATATTTTAAAACCAAATTTATCACAGAATTAAAAAAGGGTAGAATGGTTGAATTACCAATTCATATGAAAAAGGTCATAGGTTTGAATCTTATTTAAAAAAAAATTTGCTTATTTTTCTCGTATATTGATTTTTTTTTTCATATTTTTTTTCTTTTTCAATGTCAATTAATCTTAAAAATTGTCCACTTCTATCTATACATATAAGGAAAACTGAGAAACACTCTAGTAATCGTTCATCTGGACAATATCCATATGTTCATATAGGTAATTTTAAGCAATTTGTTTGGTATGCACATGTGCATAATACATACAAGTGCATAAAAACCAAGAAACAACTTCAGTTACCAGTAAGCACATGTGCATGCCGTCCAAATGAACGTTTATCAAGGTATTCCTTAGTTTTTCATTTGTGTGAAGTTTTCCCCTGAACCTCCCTATATATAGGGGGCCTTCTTGTAAGATTTTACTAATACGTGAGATTTGTAAGATCCAATTTAAAACATAAAAAAATAGTTGAAAAAAATCTAATAAAAATTAAGGGCAAATTGCGTAAAAATTTTATTCCTATTTTAAATAACATACTTTAAAAACTTTCAATTTTGATACCTGAAATATAAAATCTCAAACTTTTAATTACTTAATTTACCTATACTTCTTCAGGTAACCGGTAACTAAAGATGACATGTATTTAAAAAAATGATGTGGAAAAAAATCGGCATGTAAGTTAATGACATGAAAAATATTATAACACATTTAACCAAAACTCAATTTCCTAATAACAGGGATTTCAATCAGTGCTCTAAATTCCAATGTTTTCAATCTTCGACCGACCACTCTTTCTTCTTCAATGGGCTTCTTCAATCGGTCTCTATCTTCCATCGCTCGTCATCAATCGATCTTATCGTGGTGTTAAGTATGTGAAATCGTCGTATTTCTTCTTCAATCGGCTTTAGAGTTCATTAAAAAAATCATTTTGTGTTTTTAGGGTTTGAATATGCTATATCTGACTGCAATTAGTATCCAGTTAGTTATAAACTCATCACCACGTATTTCTTTACTCATCACTGTGTCTGTGAGGTTGGTGCTTCTTTGCTCTTCTTATTCTTGTTATAACGAGGGCCATTATATCGTTGGGAAGATCCCACTTTATCATTGGGAAGATTTCAGCTTGAATATGAATTGAACCATCATCATCAATCATCATCATCAGGTTGGATGCTTTTGATAGTATCATGTACCTTCATAATAATCGTCAAGTTTATGATATCCGCATCAAGGGAAATAATTAGTCATTGAAGGAATTTTGTTTCTGGAATCATTAGTACTTGAGATACCGTCGGTACTTAGTTTTGCGGTTGATGTTTGAAGAGGGAAAGTGGGTGAGAATCGTGTTGTGTATGCATACATGTTGACGCTTTCATATAATTGGCAATTGCAATGGTAGTTTGTCAATGCTAGGACTGAAGATAAGTTGTTGAAGTAGAAACGTAGTTTAGAGGTACGATCACCAAGCGTTTTTATGTTAAATTGCTTTAAAACATTCATGTCTGTGTTTAAATGCCTAAATTTTTATCTTGTTTCTTATTCATAAAAATGGTAGCACTTATAGGGGTCGTTTACCAAACGCTTATCGGGTAAGTCATTACTAGCAAGAGTCATCACTCTCACCTACCTTGTTGAGTAATATTTTCAACCATCAAAATGGATTGTGGTAAGCGTCTTTTACCCGGTAAGCGTTTATCGGGTAAAATTTTGATCCGTACCATTTTGCCAATAATAGCATCAAAACAGTTTCATAAAAGTAACTCATATCAAACGCTTGATAAATATTTGTTCCCATTTTTCAGTTTTCAAAATTTCTATAATTCTAACTACTTTAGATGATAAAAAATTTCATGCTTTTCTTTTCTTCTGATTGTTTCCGATTATATGCCGATTGTATGTGTAAAACCAACTCGAAAGGGGTTTATTTCAGAGACCAATGTTAATGATTTCATATTTTAAAAAAACTTAAACACAAATAAAATATTACATATATATTATCCTTGATTTTGTCTACTTTAATTTCAATTCTATTTTAAACCACTAAATTTTATAATAGTCGTGTTTTTAATACCATAAACAAATCACTACACTTTATTTTGTTTTACAGATGGTTCTTTTATCAAAACAGATGGTCCTTTTTTTTTATTAACCTGAATATCCAACCCGCTATGCAAACCGACTAATCCCAGGACGACCAGAAAGTCCGGAGTCACCGCATTTGAACCTCCGTGGCCACAAAGGGATTTTTATTTCTCCTTGGATTTGAACCTGAGACCTTCATGTACTTTTGACCGAGCCAAGCTCAAACCAAATCTGGTCCTTTTTATCAAAACCAAAAACAAATTATATTGTCTTGTTTGTAGTTTGAGAACACAAAAATTAGTTTAAAATTGCGTATACATATCTTTTAAAACTGATGTAGTGTTTTGTCAAATTAATGGTAGAATAGATGTTGGTTAGGGTGTGAAGAGACAAGCCATAGACCTTTAATTTGAATAGATAGATCAGATCGATTTCAGTTTATATTTAAACAATCTTATCTGTAATTACTTACTTATTTATAAAGACAGAAAAATCAACTAAATTTTACTTAAAAATATCCAAGAACATAGAAAATCA